CAAATATTTGATGGTGCTGCTCTGTAATAACATGAATACTGTATGTTGGCCTGGTTATTGGCTATATGTTTACTGTGTAAACATGTTGATTTAGGAAATATTTTTCAGGAAAAGGAAACTATATTTTTTTAATGAGATTCCAAGTTTGGTTGATAAAGGTAATAGAGCTGATGTCATAGACTTCTGTAAGTCATTTGACTTGGAACCGTACAGCACTGTATTGAAAATAAAAGAGTATGATATAAAATGAAAACAGTACTCGTGAAACGGCTGACTGATAAGTTGTCAAAATGTAAATGCAAACGGAGAATTATCATCAAGCGGATGTGTTCCTAGTGAGGTCCATCCGGGATCAGTTCTTGGCTCTGTGCTATTTAACATTTTTATCAGTGACCGAGAAGATAGCATAAAATCGTCACTGATCAAGTTTGCAGATGACACACTAATTGAGAGAGTGAGCTCTGGATTGCTTGGTAAACTGAGCAAAAGCAAACAATATTTGTCTTAATTTAGCTAAAATGTAAGTGTATATATCAAGGAAGAGTGAATGAGGGCCATACTTATTTATGGAAAAGATTCTGGTGCCAGGGGGGATAATAGCTGAAAAAGAGCTCCCGATATGACACCATGGCCAGAAGGGCTAATATGATACTTTATTGGCTAGAACAGGGGAATCTCAAGTGGCCGGAGAGAAGTTATTTTACCCTCTGCATTTGGTAATGATGCAACCACTTCTGGAACACTGTGTCCACTTCTGATGTCCAAAATTCAAGAAGGATGTTGATAAATTGGAGAAAACAACAAATAGTCTGGTAGCACTTTATAGACTAACAAAACATGTAGATGGTATTATGAGCTTTTGTGGGCACAGCCCACTTCTTCAGATGACTGGAGTTTTGAGTTTAGGATGTGCAGACCCAAAATAAATAGGGGGGAGGGGGAAGGAATGGAAAAAATGATGGGGGTGGGAGACAGGGAGCAGAGGGTATTGAAAATCAGAGGGAAAAACAGGAAGGTAGAGCTGGGAGTCAATACATATCTGAAGATTGGGTGGTTAAAACAAAACAGATACGAATCAAAGTCAATAGATGGTATTCTTCCTAACATAGGAATCTACACAAAGAGCTGTTTATCAACCTAACATTCAATGAAGGTACAGTGTCTCAACCATCCTTCATCATGACTGAGTCCACTAGCATGAGAATTGAATTTCTGGATGAATTCTAATTCCAATGCTTCTCTGTGTATCTGGCAAGTAGAATCGGAGCGCATTAAGAGAAGAACTAGCACTAAAAAATAGAAAACATGCTTTATACCTAGGGTCGGCAACCATTTCAAATCAAAGAGCCAAACTACATCAAAATTCAGAACAAGTGGTCAACAAAGAGCCATTTAAAAATGCCCATTTGCATGACTGAAAATATATCTCTTAATATTATTGATAATTGACATAATGATTAATAATAGCATAAGTGAAACGTAGTCACAAGTATCAGAGGGGTAGCCGTGTTAGTTTGGATCTGCAAAAGTGACAAGGAGTCCTGTGGCACCTTATAGACTAACAGACGTATTGGAGCAGAAGCTTTTGTGGGCAAAGACCCGCTTTGTCAGATGCATCGTCAGAAGTGGGTCTTTGCCCATGAAAGCTTGTGCTCCAATACATCTGCTAGTCTATAAGGTGCCCCAGGATTCCTTGTCACTATTGTAGTCACAGACTCTAATGAGACTTCTGCTGCTGTATCTTTTTGCACAGTTCTTTGAAGTTAACATCATAACTGGTCAAATCCAGCTTAGTGCACATGTTCAGGCTGTCTTCTGTCATTCTTATGGCAGAGGGCTGGCGATGTGGGGGTGCAGGTGTTTGGGGATGTGAAAGTATGAGGGGCTCAGGCAGGAGGTTCAGATGCACGATGGGCTCAGGATTGAGGTGTGGGGGGGTGCAGATGTGTTATAACTCTGCAGCCAGATGGGGTCTGGGCCCCAATTTGGGGCTTGTTGACCAGGCTTCACTTTTAAATAAAGTAAAACATTATGTCCAACACAAAAGCTTTCAACATTGTCTTTATGGCAGGAGTAAGGTTCCTTTTTTGGGTCGTAAATAGTAAAATATTGTGCTAGTTCATGAGGCAAAAAAAAAAAAAAAAAAAATCCCCTCTCCAAATTCCCCCATCCTCCCTGATATAGCCCCCAAACTGAAACACCTCATTCCACTCGTGCTCCAGCTCCACAGTGGGGAGAGGGGCAGCAAGGCCTGAGGTTCAAGGCCTCAGGCCAGATTTACTCTTCTGCGGTTCCAGGGTTAATGGATTTTGTGGCCCCACCTAGGCTCTGGGGTGGGGCCAAAAATGAAAGGCTAAGTGTGTGAGACAGGGCTACCAATGAATGAGAGAGAGATTGAGGTGCAGGATCTTTGAGTAAGGTGGGATGTAGGAGGGGGTGAGGGTGCAATGTCTGGGTGAGAGGTAAAGTGCAGGAGCAGGCTGGGAGTAGGGTGTCTGGCTGGGAGAAGGGAGCAGGAACAAGGGAGGGGGCAGGAGTGACGTGGGGGCAGGGTGTCTGTCCAGAGAGTAGGTGGCAGGAGCAGTCTGGGAATTGGATGTCCGGTCAGGGGGCGGGTCTCTGGCCATAGGGCAGGAGTGGGCTGGGGGCAGGAGGTGGGGTCAGGGGGCAGGAGTGGGCTGCAGGAAGGGTGTCTGGCCAAGGGGCAAGAGCAGGAGTGGGCTGGGGGCAGGAATGGGTGGGGGGTAGACTGTCTTGCCAGGGAGGTGAGTGAGGGGGTGGGAGTGCAGGGTCTGGGCATGAAGGGGTACTTACTTGTTTTTGCGCAGTGTTGCAGGCACTGTGCATATCATGGCCTCCCGCTGCTTCTATTTGCCGGAAGGAAGCTTCCAAGTAGGAGTGGCAGGGGAAGCCTCCAGGAAGTACATAAGCACGTAGGGAAGGAAAATGGCAGCGCGTGGAGCCATTTTTGTTTCAGATTGTTCCCCGCATGCCAGGGGAAGAAAAAGGGCAGCATGCACAGAGCCATTTTTGGTTCCACTTTTTCCCCACATCCTGGATCTAGCGGGGAGGCTCGGGGCTTTCTCCTCCCACCTCCCCTCCCTGCCCCCAGCGCTTGTGTTCCAGTCTTGCAGGGCAGGGGAGCGTAAGACTGTAGCACCAGTGCTGGCTCCTTGCTGTGGGGGGAGCCAGAGGGGTCTGAGCTGGGGCTCCAGAAGAGCCAGATCTGGATGCCGAGTGAGTCATATCTGGGTCACGAGCCATAGGTTGCTGACCCCGATGTATAGTGATAGAATCCAGGAACTCAATCTAGTTAGCTTAACGGACAGAAGGTTAAGGGGTTACTAGATTACATTTTTGTTTGAAAATGATCTGTTCAGTCTTGGTGAGATAGCTATAACCTGACCTAATGGTTGGAAGCTGAAGCTAAATTCAGACTGGAAATTAGGCATACATTTGTAATGGTGAGAGTAACCACTTGAACAGCCTACCAGAAGTGCTAGTCGGTCACTGATAATAAGTCAAGCTCAAATGTTTAATAAAAGACATGCTCTAGGAATTACTTTGGGGGTGCTCCATAGGGTTGCCAGGTAGACCCCACCAAAAAACTGGACACACTTGATCGTGGGTGGGGGAGGAGAGGGGAGAACTGGCTGGGA